AAGTCTGGGGAGCGTGGACGCAGACTTTGCTTCTTCCTTCCAGGGCAGCGCCAGGGGTGCCCCTACCTCCATCCCTGGCTGTGCGATGCCATCTATACCCCCCCCCAAGGCGCGCATGCACAGCAGTAGTCACGCCCCCACGCTGGGGACCCCCCAATTCTGGTTTCACGGAATCCAGAACTGATCTCCCTACCCCCACCCAGGCTTGGATGCACTGGTGACCCTGGGGGACAGACCCTCCCCCTCCTGGTCCCCACCAACCGCGGTTTCAACCAAGTCTGAGCAGCGCCTTGGGCCTGGACGTTGGTCCTGGCATCTGCCCTCCGAGGAGGAGACTGGGGAGGTGGAGGCGGGCGGGGGGCAGGCCTGGTGCGCCAGGGCGGGTCGCCTGGGTGAGCTTGCGCGCGTCCCTAGTTTCAAACCGACCGCTCTCCACCTAACCTGATTATTTCTCCGCACACACCCGGAATGGGGGACTTGTAAGTGGGGCCGGGCGGAGAGCCGCAGAGAGACAGGCGGGGGGCAGGGCGGAGAGTGGACAGCCAGCTGGGGCCCTCAGCCAGAGGGCCAGGGGGCTGGGCGGTGGTCGGGTGAAGGGGGGCGTCGAGGGGGCCGGCCCAGCCTCCCCCCGTCTCTGCCGCGCCCAAGTGGGGATTGTGCGTTGCCGGCAGAGTGCAGGGCAGGGGAAGAACAAGAGGAGGGTGGGGGGGGGAATCCATGCTGTTGTTTTTTTATTTTTTAATTTTGATTTCTTCTTTTGGTTGAAAGAGAAAACAAACAAACGGAAAAAAAAAAAGCACAAAAGCAAACAAAAACGATTGCAGCTGTTAGCCTTGGGAAGTCCTCTTTTTACTCTCTGTATCTCCCCTATTTTTTCTCTCCTCCCCATGTCATTGTGTTCCGCATCAAACCCCCTTAACATCCCTCAGAACTTCGAGAAGGTTGGTGTGTTTTTTTTCTTTTTTACTTTCTTTACCCACATTTTTACATTTCCGGAAAATGACACACGCACACACATCCACCCACACACACGGACACGAGACACGTGCAGCCACACCCACACCCAGACGCACAGCACAAGCACACGGCAAAAAAATAAATAATAAACAAATCACCTGGAAAGCCGCGTAATGAGCGCTAAAGCAAACCAATTAAACAAAAAAAAAAGCCCGCCAAGCGAGCGCGAAACCCAGAAAGACACGAAAGCCTCCGCCGCGCCCCGCCTGGCCGAGGGCCGGCAGCACACACGCTTGTACTGTGGTCGCCTCTCTGCATCCCCTGGTAATGTCGTTGCTAAGTTTCTTGCACTCCTCGTCGTCATGGTAACTTGGGCCTGATGCATGCTGGAAGAATGTAGCAATCTCT